ATGGTAATTAACAAAGCCATTTTCAATCAATTATCGATGAATTTTAATTTTATATCTATTAATGAATTAAAGAAAATGTTATTTAGTTAAACAAAACAATATGAAGCGTTAATATTGTGGAGAATTGTTAAAATTTTATGAAGTTATATGCAATCACATAAAGTTTACATTTATGCTTTATTTATGTTTAATTTATTTTTGAACATTTAAATTTTAATCATTTCCTTAATTTTTACTTTCATATATGTGTTTTTTCCATTAGCAAACTATAGATATTTCCGAGAAAGTGCAAAATATCCTAAATTAATACCATTTTACGAATGTAATAAACCCTCGTAAAGGTTAAATGTAAACATTTTTCTCGATCAAAAACCATATCTAATCATCAATTTATTAAAAAAAAAAAGGGAATGATTACTAAATAGCTTATGCATGCTTATCAACAATAATTCATTCCCTTTTCATCATCTTTTTTTTCCTTCTCATTCATCAATCTTATACAGACATTCCTCACTCAATACCTGTCACTCTCTCATCATGTTTACATAACCTTTTATCAGCATTCCAATCAATTTATTATGTTTGTTTTTTTTCCTCCTTCCTCCCTTAACTACTGTTCCCGAGAATTCTTAATACCAATCTTAATCAGAGTTTTCTTTTGACCAATAATTTTCATCTTTGCATTTTACTTTTTTAGATTTCCGGAATTTTCAAGTATTATGCATATACCGTATCCTTAATGAAACTCAATTTTACCCTATCATTTTAATCAATTATAGTAAAATTATTTTCCTTTTTAGATATGATACTTGAAAAAGGAAATGAGAGAAATATTTTGTTTATCAGAATTGCTGACTTATCAATTGTTGACGTCTTTTTTTTCACAATTTCAACTTATCAGTTGTTGACATTTTCTCACAATTAATATTACAACGTTTCCTCTTATTTTTCTCAAATTTTATCGCACAACATTCAATCAATTTCTCGCCTAAGTAACTTATTAAGTTACGACTCTTTCAATATTTAGAAAGGATTATAATTAGCTTAATTAAAAGTTGATTTGCTATAAGCGAATCATAGCAGCCATTGAAAAGTAATCAAAATTAAAAACCTTTTTTAAATGAAAAGCTTAATTCATCATTTCAGATTTAGCTTAACTTACCATTTAAATTTGCTGATTTTTTCCACAAATTTTCAATTCCCAATTTATAATTTATTCTACAATTTTTTGTATTTTATCGACTTTTAGGTAATAATATTTCGAAAAAAAAAGGAAAAATTAAAGTTCAACTGTTATGATTTATCAATGAAAGAAAAAGCTTTTATATTATCAATAAATATTTTTGATAACATGTATACGCTATAACGTGACACGTGATACGTGGCACGTGTACGTGATACGTTACGCGTGTCTACGTGGTAACATAATAACGTGCATAATGGTCTACGTAAAATTTCAATCTACTTGCATTATCTAATGAAATATTTCTACTTATTCTGAATTATTTACTCATTTGATGAAATGAAGTGATTCAGTTGAGTATTTGTAAATGTTCTACGTGAAATGCTCCTCTTTATTTCATTCTAATTACGTGTTCTACGTGAAATACTTCTGCATGAAGTGAATTACTTATCTATTTGATGAATTGAAATGATTCAGATGATAGACATTAGAACCATTTGGAAGGAATGTTAAACCGTGGCCTGATGATTTTCCACTCTGATGCCTTGGTAAATAATTTTCTATCATGCTTTGTGGCAAACCAGAAAATCGATTGCTGTTGATAAAACGGAATAATTAAATCTACTTTTTGTTGCCTTTAGTAATTTCTAGCATCGATTCCAATTAGCTTCCCTTTTAAGTTTAAAGTTACTCTACTCGTACCTTTCTTTTTTTTCTTTTTCAATTACTCTCAGTTGTATTTCTTGTTAATTCATGAATAAGTTTAGAATACGAAGATTTTTTTGTGAAAAAAGGTGAATATTCACTCTTATTAAATGTTTAGTAACAAAAATAAATATATTAAGCAATATTTTCCTTTAAAGAGAAAAAAAGAAATAAAAAAACAGAAAACCGAAATAAAAGTCAGATTTCAAGGAATTGTTTATCAATCTATAATCAACAGATAAAATACAAGCAATTAAACAATTAAATAAGCTATGTTGTTATTGCCATTATTGTTGTTATTGTTATTGGTATTGTTATTGTTGCTATTGTTGTTATTGTTATTGTTATTATTGTTGTTGGTATTGTTCTTGCTTATAAATTTAATATAATTATCAAAATAGGTCATTTTCATTTATTCCATTGACAGCATTATTTTATCGTTGTAATCATTTCATAATTAAATAGAATAAAGTTTACAGCTTTAAATCTATGTAATTAGCGAAAGACATGCTGGTATTTTATTTGAATTTATAAATAAGCAAAATAGTACGAATAGGTTAATTTTGATTCTGATTAAAATTTAATTAACGTTTCATAATATATTTTAAGCAGAAGAGTTAGGATGAAATATAATAAAATGCTATATGATATTGAGTTCAATCAATTTAATTTATAACACACATAGATGCAATTATTAGTAAAATAGGAAATTCAAAAATTTGAAGCAGGAAAACACAAACAGACTAAAATTGGAATTTCGTTCAAAATTTTCCTACAATTTTAATTTTTCACAACTTCTATAATTTTAATTTTTCAATTAATGTGACTATTTCTAATTCTAATTTTTCAATTAATATTATTTTCTGTTTTTAATTTTCCAAATTAGCACCATTATTTTCAATCTTAATTTTCGATTATCATCGCTATTTTTGATTTTAATTTCTCAATTAATACAATCATTCCTTTTCATTCTACAAATTCTCACGGCTTTCTATTCATCTATTCAATCTAATAGCTATAATACTTTGAAAAAAGCAAACAAATTTCCTCCCTCTTTTCCTCACCTCTTCATTATATTCTACTTTTCTAATTTTATCAAGCACCAGTAGTTTTATCGTTTCTTTATACTTGAAAAAACTGTAACAGAAATTGTTTGAATTAATAATAAATTGGTAATTAAATATAAGAAGCAATGTTATAGGTTGTATGTAATTTGATAAAGGATATTAACGAAAATTACAAATATTATCACGAATACTCTGTCCTGATAACAGCTGTTACGACGATCATCTTATTCATTCATGCTAACAAATTCAGCGACAATTGATAATGATAATTTAAACATCATGAAATGCATCGTTTACACGGTTATCATAATTCACTTTATTCATTTTAAGCTTATTTCTTTTATTTAATTTTAATAAAATACTTTGTTTTTTTCTTTTCTTTTTATTCATCATACTAAATTATTATTATTATTGTTTTCTTTCACTTATTTCAAATTAAATCCAGCAATTTTTCAAATTCCCTCTAACAATAAGTAATAATTAACAATTTTAAAATGCAATTTAACGAATTAATTTTCCTGCCAATAACTTTTTAAGATTTATTTTTCTTTTGCTTACTTTTTTCGACTTCAATAAAACAAATAATAAATAAATAAGTAAATTTTTTCGGCTTCATTTTCATCTTCAAGCAATCTTTCCGTGCTTTCATAGCTTTTATATGCTTGTACGCAATATCTTAGCACTAGTGGTAATATATAAAAAATAAATAAAAATTATTTAGATTGCAGTATAAATAGCAAACAATTGCATTTCCCGCAAAAAAAGTGCGAAGTGTTGAAATTTATGAAATTTGTATTTCAGCTAAAAACGAAAATAGCCATATGACATGTCCCTTTTAAGGAATTAATTTTTTTTTTACAAAAAAGGAGTAAAATTGTAAATTATTCATATGTTACAAAAAAAAATATATATATATACATATATTAATAGACGAATGGAATAGGAAACATAAACATTAGTAGGTAAGTATTAAATATTATTTTGCAATTTTTTTAGTAACTGTAAAATAATCGGTATTATATTAAATTTCAAAATGATAAAATCTTTTCGTTTTATTGAAAACTTGATATTTAAAATTATACACATAAAGAGAAATTTATAAATTTATTGCTTCATTAGTTTAGTGGTGGGGTTTGGTGTGACAATGAAATGATGAATTTAATAGCTTTTTAGTTTTAAATACCGAAAATAATACATTAATCAGTCAAGAAATTATAGTAGCAACGATAATAATAACAATAACATGAACGACAATAATAATGACATTAATATGTCAATCAGTAATAATAACAACAGTGATAATGATGATCATTGTAAATGATAACAGTATTATGACAATAAATAATAATAATAATAATAGTAGTAATAATAACAATAATGATAATAATAGTAATAATAATAATAATAATAATAATAATAATAATAATAATAATAATAATAATAATAATAATAATAATAATAATAATAATAATGAAAATAAAATAAAATAACCGCTGGTTATTAAGATTTTTAGGAAATCGAATAATTTTTGATCGAATATAAAAGACAAAGTTTAATAATAACTGCTTTGTTTGTATTTGTTGATGTTGTTTGTACTTAATTTAGAATGCAAAATGGGTGAATGTAA